CACTAAACGACCAGACGATCGAACGTGTGGAGTCATACAAGTACCACCGAGATCCGATCAAGGATTGAAAGAGCTCGAGCATCGTTCAACAACATGAAAGGTGTCTTCACAAGCAAGGATCTAACCCTGCCTCTAAAAATAAGGTTGGCAAAGTGATATTTGTTCCCAATTCTGCTCTACGGAGCAGAAGCATGGACAACGACGGAAGCCATAATGAAAAAATTAAACGCCTTTGAAATGTGGATATACTGCCGTATCCTCAGAATCTCGTGGACTGACCACATAACTAATAAAGAGGTGCTGCAGCGAATTGGGAAAGAGAGACAAATTACACTCACAGTTAAAAAGAGGAAACTGGAATACCTCGGACACATAATGAGACATCAAAAATATCGTCTACTCCAGTTAATAGCTCAAGGAAGGATCAACAGTAAAAGAGGAGCAGGAAGTTTTTGGTCTTTAGTTACAGTTCTGATTGCAGTTAGTTAAAATGTTCGTGACAACATTTTTTTTACGTCAATAAAGCTATTTGTTGTGAAGATAGAGTGGAATCAAGAAAGGTGGTTCATCTCTCCCGGAATTACTCTACCTTCGGGTAGCTTGTAATATTACTGGGAGATAATAAAAAAAAAGAAAGGATTTTCCGTCATTTGACTTGGCTTTAAAATAAAAGACTGGTCCTCTTGTAGATTTACCATCACGACCAGTAACACGGACACATGGACAGGCATAGCGTTCTCCAACAACGAGCGAATGTCGCAAACGGACGCGATTTTGGGCTGGGTGGACAAAACGGGACGGCCCTTCCTAATGGACACCTGGATCAACGGCTACAGCCAGCCGTTTCTGGACTCCAACCAGAACATCTACAACACGAGCGGTAAGTCGGCAGAATTTCAATTTGGCGCGGTTTTAATGGGTGTTCCTTTAGGCCGCATAGTGGACGGTGTCACCACACTGTCCTTCTCGCGAAAGCGGGACACGAACGATCCGAAAGATCTCGCATTTACGGACGACCATTGCCTTTACATGATGTTCCCGGTAAAAGGGGGCGCTTTCAACAGTGTGAACAAGAAAATCAAGAAGCACGAAGTCTTGCCGGTGGTGAGCACTGAGCGCGTTTGCATCAAGTCCTGCGGCAATGGTAACTACAAAAATTGATTTTTATTAAAAAAATCAAAAACCACTGATTTATTTAAATTAATCAAGAAAATGATTTTTTTGATTTTTATTAAATCAATTGATAAATCCGCTTAATTAGCTGTTTTAAAGTCATTGCAACTGTTGCCGAGAAGATTCAAGCTAAGTTGAATCGATTCAATACTTGTCCGAACGCATTTTCGAGGGAAAATTCTTGTCGCAACGGCCCGCGACTCGTTTTCGCACGTAGCCCGGCGTATTCTATAAATGCCGTCGCCTTTCTTCGGTCTTATTCATTTCGTCACAAAATTTCAAGAGAGGCTAATGTTGAAAAGTGTGTAAATTTTTTGTGTTTGTGTCATAATAATAAGTCAGTTTGAACAGAACGCAATGGCTGGAAGAAAAGAAGACAGTATTTGGCAGATTTACATCAAAACCACCTCTTCTAATAAGTCAGGATGCAGAGCAAAATACCGGCAATCACACACTCGTAAAAGCAGAAAATAGAACAACAAGGAGAATACCCGTCAACACAGGAATTAGACAAGGAGACAGCCTAAGCCCTATATTGTTTAACAT